CCCCCACACACACAAAAAAGAGAAAAAAATTGCATCTCATCTTGGAATTGTCAGTCTTCATCCAATACTCGTGATAGGATTCGGACAGTTATATTGCGTGACCAAATCCCGCCGACAGACAACTCATCAAATGCAAAAAAGAGAGGAAGATGGAAAAAGGACTCGATACCCTAGATACGTAAATAGATTGAAACACAAATGGATTAAATATAAATAGACGAAGCTAATTAAAGTTAAAAAGCACATGAAAATAGAGGTAAAAAACATGGAAGAAAATCGAAGACAAAAATTTAGTTTTTAAATAAAACTAACAAGAATCGGACTACTCCAAAAATAGCATGACAAACACCTCGTAAAACTGAGTATTTGAATCCGGTCTCGGTAGACATGTAACCCGCGAAATTAATCTTGAAATGCAGACAGACGGAGATGCAGAACGCGGTAAGACAGCCAATAAAATACAGGAATATAGCGTGCGCCATCGCATAAAATGTAGATGTCCACTGTGTCTGTACGGAAAAAGATGGGGAGGAAGTGAAGTGGCGTGTGGGCGGGTATGGTGATGTGGTAGTGTGTGTAGTGCAAGACACAGAGAGAAAGTGTAGTGGAGTGTGGTAGAAAAGGTACTGCAGGGATGTGAGGAAGAGGCATTGGGTGAAGAATTCATACTGTATAAATTATAATTAATGGAACGAGAAGAAAACACGGATATGCTGTAGGCCTTTTCTCTGGATGGGTCCAAAGAAGCAGTCTTTGGAATATTCATGTTTTTTTCTGACTCTTCGTTGCTTGAATAGCGTGAAGGGACAGGCGCACCGAGGGGTTCAGAGGGAAAATGCAGAGGCGCAAGTTCGTAAAGTGACGCCGTAATGAACGTAATGTAAGAAGAGAAGAAAGTGCAATGGCGCGTGATATTTTATACGCTCTGTGTCGAGGTGACTTACGTGAGGATGGTGTTACACTCGGTGCAGCGGAAGCAGTTCTTGTGCCACGCTGCTCTCTCGGCCACGATCCTCTCCATCTGGAACACCTGCTTCCCGCACTGCTTGCACTCGGTCGGCATCTGCGACACTTGCTGTGGGAGCATGACACCTGCGGTAAGTGGCTGGCACGGGAGGGTTGACCCGCCTTCCCACACCCCAAGGTCATACCGTACAATATGGTATACCAACCTATCATACCAGCCTTGTACATCTGGCACATCTAGACATGCCAAACAACTGGCTATGACGTCGCTCATAGTCTAGGTAGTTGCACTTTGTCTTGAAACAACTGGTTAACTCCAAGGGAAAACAACGGATCAGTTCTATGCTACACATTTCTCCGCCGGGATAATCCCGTTCGGCGGCGTCATCATGCAATTATGCAGGCAAGTTTCGTAATATCTTAATGCGCGCGCCGATCTAATCTCCATAAAGTATGCCGGGCGAAAATCCCTTATTGCACGACTGATAAAACTCCTCGATAAGAGAAGCAAACTAATGTCTATCCCCTTCCTGTTCATCGGCGCTGGGCCTATCATATGCACCTTGGTTAATTGAAAAGTTGGGTTTTAACATAATTAACAAATAGCATGCGCTTACGTTTTAATTCAAACCAATCTGATCCAATACTATGATGAAAGGTACAATGCAGGCTCCAGACCTTCACTTAATATAACAACTTGTAGTTATAATTTCTAACTGCGCAATCACATTGTTTACATCCCTTGGCAATTCTCATTGAGCTTTAAATAATATTTCTCCGTACAGCATATAAGCTTTCCTACGCGAGACAAAGATATACTGGACGTGTCACGAGTGGAGGAACTGTGTTGTTGCGCCAGTTATTAAGTAATGAAGGCGTGATGGAGGCGCCCGCCAGCGTCAGCTCGTGCGGGCACACAGCTGGGCGGTTCGTTCAGCACCTTCAAAAAGGCAACAACTCGGTCCCTAATGGATGAAAAAAAAAATCCTCCATCGCGCCGGATTAGATTAATAAAACTCTGATACAACCAGGCTACTTCTACAAGTCGTCATACCCCGCGGAAGGTCGCCACATGAACCGAACATAAAACGGATCCTCTTCCTGCCCGCGCCGGACGCCTCCCCGCAGCCGCCATAAACTTACCGCCCCCCCCCTCCCTAGCCCGGAGGAGGGGGAGGGGGCTGTGGGGAGGGGCCGGGGGGTTAGAACTTACGTTGTCGTGAAGGTCCAGAAGTGAGTACAGAGGGAAAGGGTCGTCAGCCTTCACCAGCGCAAGGACCACGGGCGCACAGGCGGGTTAGGTGCCCGTGTAGACAGCAGTTATGTACACACGCAGGCAGTGGCAGGCAGCGGAATGGTGCACATGAAGCCATCATACAATGCACACATGAAGGCAGCAGATAGTTGCACATGCAGAGTAAAATAAGACAGGCAGAGTCAAAAAGAGTGGCACAGCCGCCATGCACAAATCATGAGGTGTTATGAGGTTATGAGGTCATGCAGGAAATGAAACAGGGGTACAGTAGCACGCCATGAACACATGTACACACACACCCGGAGCACCTGTACATAAACACACACAGGTGCAAGAGGCATTTAAACTGAAAAAAAAAATCCAGGAGACCGAATTAGTCATGTGTATATTAGACCCGGTGGGAAGGAAGTGGACGGTGCAGGTGCAGTGGATCGCTTGGACACGTATTCCACGACAGCAGAGTAAATAGTCTAAGAACGTGGGTACAGTCCCCGTGGGCGTGAGAGAGGTGCAATATAAGAAACAATATGCGTGTCAAGAGGTGCACGTGATGTGTGTAAAAATATGAGAATGAAAGAAAAGGGAGAGAGAGAAGGGCGCGGCTGACAACTTCCTTTCCGCCGACCAGCCCGGGATCCGCGTGACAGGGACCCCGCGGCCGTCACGTCACGCCGTCGCTCGTCTTCGGTTTTAATTCCTCCGAGACAGACCGGGTCCTTCTGCCATTAGCCCCGGCTGTCAGGAACCAGTACCTACCTGTGGTTCCTATTTGGATTCAATTTTAGAACGACTCTCCTTTCCTTTTTTTTTAAATGGTACGTTCTAACACGAACGGGTTTTGACTCGAAAGAAAGTCGTAAACTAATGCACTGGACAAACAAAAAAAATAAACTTCAGCGTGCATAATATGCTATTAAGACCTAAAACTACTGGAATGTAACGAAAGGTCACAGTTATTGCTAAACTGCAGCGGACAAGCTGTGACAAAAAGTATAAAAGTGCGAGCTCAGGTCCACCGTAATCACAGGCCTTGAGATCTACGAACGCAAAGACTACGTCGTGAGCAAACGTGCCTCGTCGATATGCAAACGTATCGTGGCGGGAAAGAAACGTTTCCGTGTCCTAAATCATATAAGCCGTGATGAAAAGGGGGAAAAAATACAGTGTATAACATAAATCTCCTTGGCCATTAAAGGATATATAATTTTTTTTCCGGACATTTTACATACGGTCGCATCTGTTGTCCGAAGTGGTGCCTGCAAGGTCTATAAAAATACAAATATAGACCTTGTGCGCCTTTGCCCCGCGTTCGGCCACCCGCGCCAGGGATCGCAAATATAAAGGGATGTAAAGAGAAATCGCGATGTTTACCCGAGTCAGTGCTCAGGTTCTCCGTCGACTGTATGACGTCACGCCAGATGGCCATTAGTGAGGTCATGGAAGATCTGCGCGTGACTTATTGATTTCGTTTGTTTTCGAGCACATTTGCGGTAAGGTGGGGGTCAGGTAGTGGAGGAGAGGGAGAGGGGAGGGAGAGAGGGAGGGGGAGAGGGAGAGGTGGAGTAGAGGGAGAGACAGAGAGAGGAAGGAGAGAGAGAGAGAAGGAGAGAGAGGAGGAGGGAGGAGAGAAGAGGAGAGAAGGAAGGAAGAGAGAGAGAGAGAGGGAAGGAGGAGAGAGGGAAGGAGGAGAGAGAGAGTAGGAGGAGAGAGAGAGAGAAGGAAGGAGAGAGGAGAGAGAGAGAGAGAGAAGAGAGAGAGAGAGAGAGAGAGAGAGAGAGAGAGAGAGAGAGAGAGAGAGAGAGAGAGAGAGAGAGAGAAGGGAAGAGAAGAGAGAGAGAGAGAGAGGGAAGGAGGAGAGAGAGAGAGAGAGAGAGAGGAAGAGAGAGAGAGAGAGGAGAGAGAGAGAGAGAGAGAGAGAGAGAGAGAGAGAGAGAGAGAGAGAGAGAGAGAGAGAGAGAGAGAGGAGAGAGAGAGAGAGAGAGAGAGAGAGAGAGAGAGAGAAGAGAGAGAGAGAGAGAGAGAGAGAGAGAGAGAGAGAGAGAGAGAGAGAGAGAGAGAGAGAGAGAAGAGAGAGAGAGAGAGAGAGAGAGAGAGAGAGAGAGAGAGAGAGAGAGAGAGAGAAAACTGCTCCTCCAGTACGACCCAAAGAACCATTTACTTTTAAACATAATCTACTGCGCAATTACAACTCATTTAAATTTTCCCGCACAAATAAAAACACTACATTACAACCTGAACATATATGACAATTAGCTTCTTCCCGATTATGACAACAAATCACCCAGAACTGGAGAAATCTCGCGAACAGAGAAGGAAAAGGCCGAACATCCCCATTATTCGCGCCCGCGCCGAGCGTCACGCGTCACACCGGGCCCGAGCAACCGTCACGCCCTGACCAGCCACGCGTCCGAATGCGTCGACGCCTGGCGATGACGCTGAAAGAGCCTCCGGTCGGCGACGCTTGACGCAGGGCACAGGACGCGGCCGAACGCGGGCAAGGCGCGGAGGTGCAAAAAAAATGGCAGGTTGCTTTTCTACGATTGAGTAAATTTGACAAAATACCCGCTTCTGTTGCACCGTCCAGAGCAACTCCTGGAACATCTCGGCCAGCATCGCGACTTGGAACTGCGGCGTGGAAGGGGGGGGGGGGTTAATGGGGGTACCTGCATGTACGTGAACACACAGATTAACGCACGCATGCATGCACTCCACGCGTATCTGGACCGCAAACACACAGCAATGTTGTATGCTTAGAATGCACACAACACGCTCACACAAACACGAACGCTTAACACACACACACACACACACACACACACACACACACACACCACACACACACCACACACAGATGTTACTTGACTTTTATTACTAAATAAATTCAGAATTCTCACAGATCAGTGTTAATGATCATATTAATACGATTAAAAAATTAGCATATTTATGCTTCTGCGAAGGCTTTATGGTCAAACGCTACAGATGTTATACGTTGTAAACTGATTAAAACAGGATTAACATATATACACACATTCGCCTATGTTATTTAAAAAAGGAACATCTTGTTAATAAAAATAAATAAATTATCACGTTGTGTTAATTTATCACACAAACTAATCTATAAAAACGAATGAAAATCAAAACGCTCGTTAAATCAATATATACAACACAGCAAACCGTGTTAAAATGAAAAGAACAACAAATAAAAAAATAAATAAATCCAGATGTGTTAAAGAGCATCATCACAAGTGCATTATAAAAAAAAACTGTGTGAAGTGCTGGAGTGAAGTTAGCGTGAGTTAGCCTTTTTTATTCATCTTTATTTTACCTTTGGCTTTTCAAACTTGTTCTTCATTTTTGAGGCGTCGAAGGAGCGGACTCGAGGTCCTACGTGCTTCTCCAAGATGTCGTCGCGATTTAGATATACCGCCTTCTACACCACAGAAAACGGGAAATGCGTCAGTCATCGTCGAAAATGGGAAGTGGTTTAGTCATGAAGGAAAACGGGAAATAGTCCGAACGTTAAGGGTGGTATGTAATAAAGGTTTGGTTCACGTTGCAAGTAATGGCAGACTGCAGATAAAGATTGTGTTTGTAAATACAAGTATATTTGTGTGTCCACTACTATTATTTTGGCACATTCAGAATGATTAAAATCTGTGTATGAAAAGAAGATTAGCAAATGTAAATGAGCAGGGAAAGTCACCCCTTATTTCAGTCAGAATAAGTCATCGCACCAAATCAAAAGCAATTACCTCAAGAAAAGCCCAATTAGGCAAGTAATCAAGCATATGCTATTTTGATTTTTATCCATACATAAGAAATGAACACATGACGCCCTTAATATCTAAATTACAACTAAATCATATTCTTCATATATCACATACACAGGGTGTTCCATGGAGCTATCTGGAGCATCCCTTATGTTGCCCCAAACTTACCATCCCATTTCAAAATAGAACATCAAAGAATTATAAAGGGAGAGAAAAAAGTTAATTAGATCTGCAAAGAGAATGGAGAAACATTAATGACATAATAAGTGTCAGATCTTTGACAAAACAACGGAATAAGAAAGCAAAAAAACATATAATATACATATATAAGAAGAGACATGATAACGATATGACCCAGGATGATGATCCTCATTATGAGATTAATTATACACAAAAGATAGCATCAGCAAAACATAATAATGAAAAAATAATGATGAGAAGTCACGAGAATATAAAATCAGGAAAATGAGAATAATAGGCATAGAGAAATAAGCCTGAAAGAAATAATATAAAAACTTAATTCAAGAAGCTAAATCTAGCTTCATTCAGGCATGAACTAAACATTATAAACATTAGACCAAAACTAGTGTTGTTATACCATTGATCTAACGATGAATGGAACAGTGTGATGATTATTATGGTTGTGATGATGATAATATAATAGTCACACCAGGAATGGCAGTAAAAAAAAACAAAGTGCATTCAGAAAATTTCCATACATTTCAGATAGAAAATAATTTTTAAAGGAAAAAAAATATCACTCGAATGTCTAAAAAATACTTTCCTAACTACTGGCTATACCAATAACAATTACAAAAACAACAACAACAGGATATCAAGAACAACAACAGAAAAAAACGACAAGGCACACACCGCATACAAAGCAATAAACGGATTTATTTCTACATTACCACCGCCGCAGAAAAATAAAACTGTGCCTTAGTACCGAACATTCGCGTTTTCGTAAACCCTGTCTTTAAGCTTTTAATTTCTGGAACGCCGTACGTAGGGCGAGTCAAGGGGGAGGAGGGGGGGAGGGGAGGGGAGGAGGAAGAAGGGCAGGAGGGGGAGGGAGAGGGAAGAGAAGAGAGGAGGGAAGAACGGGAGAGGCTGGGGGAGGAGGCGGAGGGGAGGGGAGTGAGGGGTGGAGGAGGAGGAGGTGGGAGGAAGGGGGAGGAGTGGGAGGAGGTGGAGGGGGGAGAGGGGGAGGAAGGGAGGAGGAGGAGGCGCAGGAGGGAAAGACGGGAGAAGGCCCGGGAACGGGCGGGGGGAGAGGGGCAGGAAGAGGGGAGGCGAAGGGTTGTCAAGGGGTCGGGGGATGAAGGGGGAAAGGATTATGATGAGAGAGGAGGCAAGAGGGAGGGAGGGTAGGGGAAGAGGGTAGGGGGGTATCGGAAGGCGCGCAAACGCGCAACGCGGCCGAAGGGAAGCGCGCGCGACGCGCAGGAGACGGGAGCCTGGCCGACGAGAACGCCGAGGTGCGACGGCGAGGGAGGCGGAGGCGCACGCGTCCCGCCCACATCGAGGCGAGAGCAGGCGCGGGCCACCGCGGCAATCGACGCGGCGCAGCACGACGCGGCGGTAAGGGAATGAGGGAACGAGGGGGAGGGAATGAAGGGAGAGCAGAGGGGGAGGGGGAGGGAGAACGGGGAGGGGGGAGGAGAGAGGGGGAGGAGGGAAGAGAGGGGGAGGGAGAGAGGATGGGGAGGGGGAGAGAGATGGGGAGGGGGGAGAGAGGGAGGGGGAGGGGGATGGAGGGGGATGGGGGAGGGGGGGGAGGGCGGGGAGGGGTGGGACAAGGGGGAGAGAGCAGGGAAGCGGGAAGAGCGCAGGGAGAGGAGGGTAGGAAGGAGCGGGACTATATCAGATTTCAGCGAGACGTAAATGAGGGATGTTGTAGTGTGTGAGGATAGTTCATTCTGGCATGGGTGTAAGATAACTCGTGTGAGGCCATGGAGGGGCAGGACGTGAGGGGAGGAGGGAGAGGGTGTGGAGAGGGTAGGCGGAATATGGTGCTGGAAGGATGTGATGAGATGGAGTAGGGAGTCGGGTCGATCAGGGCTGAGGAGGACTAGTTTGATGAGAGTTCGGATGAGGTGTGTTGATGTGGATGGATACTAAAGGCGTGAAGATAATGTGGCTGTAGGTAAACGGACACTTAGTGTTGGTTTGTGGGGTTAGCAGTTCGGGGGGGGAGTAGGGTTGGTCGGGGGTGTGAGGGAGCGGGAGGGGGGGTATGAGGCGATAAGGTGGGGTAATGTAAGTGCTCGGGGTAGAGAGGGTTGAGTAGGGGGGGGGGGATTTGGAGTCGGCGCTGGAGAAAGGCGGCGGATATGAAGTGTGGGTAAAGATGGAGGGAAAAGCTGAAAGTTGTGATATGTCGGCGAGGGACGGAGGAGGCCTATACTTGGCGGCGTGGGCTGACGGGTGGTGGATAGTTGAGACGAAGTCATGTAAGCAGAGGAAGTGATAGGGCGAGGTGTATTTAGTTGTGGCTAGTTGAGTCCGATATGAGTGGAGCTGAGAGAGGATGTCAATTGGGAATTATCCCGGGCAGTAGCTGGATAGGGCGTAAAGAAGCTGATGGGGCGGTGGGGTGATGGGGGGGTGGTGGCATTGGGTGGCGGGTTGATCACAGGGGTTGTTTCGAGGTCGTATGAGGACATTGATATAAGGAGGAGACAAGGGCGGGGGCTGTGGGGTGATTCTGGAGGAGGCATGTGGTGGGCGGGGAGGTGGGGATGGGCTAGGGAAAAGTCCAATTATAATAGGGGAGGGAAAAAAGCAACTGTGACACACAAGTCTTGGGGAATAGTTTATGGAAGTGATGTACTAGGGGGCTATGGAATGTTGATGTGAGGTGGGATGGGCAGAGGCGGAGTTCTTCGTTCGTCCCGCAGGGAGCGGAGGAGTGGTGGAAGCCGCTGGTAGTCGACATGGAGGTAGGCTATGAGTCGAGACGCGCGAGGGGTTAGTGTGGGGGTCATCGATGAGGGGAGTAGATAAGGGGGGGCCGCGTGTTGTGGAGGGTGCAGGTTGGAGATTAGAATCATAGACAAGCAAGGCAGCGAAGTAATATTCTGAAAGAGGGCTGCAGTAGAGGCGACGGAGGAGAGAGGATGAGCGGAGTCAGAGAAGGAGTAGAGAGTAGAGCGAGAGAGAGAGAAGACGAGGGGAGGAGGGAGGGTGAGGATTACGGGGAGGTGAGGTGTGAAAGGTGGTGAGGAGGGGAAGCGACTGATGATGGGGGTAGGGACAGGAGGCGGCGGGGATGGCGTGCGAGAGGGAGGGATGGCAAGGAAGAAACACAAGAAGGCGCGAAGGAGGGCAATAGGAGAGGACAGACGGACGACCGCGAAACAAAAAAACAAAGAAAAGAAAAGGAAGAGGAAAGCGAAGAAAAGACAGGAATTGTCCAGGTGGAAATAGAGAGATGCCACGAAGGAAAGGAGAGAGAAAGCCCATACGACAATAATTGAGTATTATTACCAAGGATCAAAGCCCCAGCGGGCGGAGCGGCGCGAGGGGGAGCGGGGGCTGGGGGAGGCTATGGGCAGGGGTGGGGGCGCGGGGAGTAGTGTCGGTGGTTTTTGTATATTTTCGGGAGGGGTTCGGTTGAGGGAGCAGCAGTGATCGGCCACGTTACATTAGGAGGCCTGGGTGTGCAGGTTGGGGGGTGGGGAGGATGGTAAGAGGGAGCGTGTAAGCGGGGGGAGATGGGAGAGGGAGGTAAGCTGGGGAGGCTGAGAGGGCGAGTTTAGGCAACTCCTGAGCGGAACCGCGCGGGTGGGGGTGTGGGAGGGAGGGAGGGAGGGGCGGGGGAGAGGGGGGGCGTGGGGGGGGGAGGGTGTGCCGGGTCCAGCGGGGGGGGTAGGGGGGGGTAAGGTCAGGGGTAGTATTTCGGGCGGGCACAAGCGCTGGCGATGTAATGTCACGCAAATCCAGCGTTATGACCCGAGGCGAACCGTGCGACCACGCAGGATGTTCCGTTTCTACTTATTTGGATGCACATATCCTTTTTTATCCCCCGACCGCCCGCCCCCCCCCCTCCCCCCCCTCATCTCGCTAATTCCTTCGGTGAAGTCTCGTCAAGGACCGGGGGGTGAGGAGAAGGGAGAGGGAGGGAGAGAAAAAAAAAAGAAGAGCAAGGAGAGACTTGACAAAGAGAAAGGAAAGAGGGAGGGAAAGAGGAAGAGAGTGAGAAAGGAGAGATTGGAAAAAGAAAGGAGGAAAGAAAGGGAGAGAAAAGGGAGAGAGAAAAGAAAGAAAGAGAAAAGGAGAGTTGAAAAAAGGAAAGAGAGAAGAGAAAAAAGAAGAAAAAGAGAGATAGAAAAAAAGGGAAGAGGAGAGAAGGGAGAGAGAAAGAAAAAGAGAAAAGGAGAGATAGAAAAAAGGAAGAGGGGAGAGAAAGCGGGGGAGATTTAAACAAGAAAGAGAAAAGGAGAGAGATGAAAAAAGAAAGAGGGAGAGAAAGAGGAGAAAAAAAGAAGAGAAAAGGAGAGAGATAGAAAAAAAGGCAGAGGGAGAGAAGAGGAAGAGGAAAAAAAAGAAGAGAAAGGAGAGATAGAAAAAAAAAAAGGAAAGAGGGAGAGAAGAGGGGAGATTTAAAAAGAAGGCTGGTTCTATGTTTTTTGGGGGGGCGATGCAAGGAGAGGGGACTTGCGACCTAGTCTGGCTTGGCGCGGGCATCTGGGAATACACAAAGGGAGAGAGGGAGGAGAAGGGGAGCGAGGAAAGGGGAGGGAGGGAGGGAAGGAGGGGAGAATAAGGAGGAGGGGAGGGAGGAGGGGGGAGGGGAGGGGAGCGGAGGAAGAGGAGAGGAGAGAGAGAGAGAGAGAGAGAGAGAGAGAGAAGAGAGAGAGAGAAGAGGAGAGAGAAGGAGAGAGAGAGAGAGAGAGAGAGAGAGAAGAGAGAGGGAAGTGGAGGAAAGGAAGAGAGGGAGGGAGGAGGGGTAAGTGGAATGGAGGAATTGAGGGAGAGGCGAGGGGAAAGAAAGAGATAAAATAGATAGATTGAGGGGGGGGGGGGTGTTAAGAAATAGATCGCCCCAAAAGGAAGCAAGCAGGGGCCAGGAATCGGCTCAGGGCTGGACGAGGCTGGCCGCCGCCCGCCGTCAGAGGCACGGCGAGGCGGGCTTCGTCCTGCCGGAACTCTCAACCTCCTACTTGTTGCAATGGCCTCGCATTACTGCTCGTCCCCGTGCAACGCTGCCCTCCCGACATCTGAAGCCGCAAGGGCCTCGCAGGAGGGAGGGAGCGCTGGCGTGCGGGCGGCGATGCCCTCTCGCGGGCGTGCACACAAGCGACTGACATGCAATGACGGCAGCCTCGGGCTCTCGGTTTCGTGGTGATTAGGGGATCACTCCTAGTAAAAAAAAACTGAAGGTTCGAGAACTGGGAACGCGGGAGCGTCAAAGATAACATAGCTAAGTGAGGAAACAAAACGAAAAAAAATGAACTCCACAATGTATTAATGAAACCCTCTTCTTGGTTTTACTACGCAGTCTATTATCTTTATATTTCATTACTTTAAAAGTCAGTGATGTCATAAAGCCGCTGAGGCGTTTCAGCTTCAACTGCGCGTCTAGAAATTCTGATTTCGCGACGGAGATCCCGAGCCCGAAGGCGGACCACTCAGAGGCTGCAACGGAAGCAAAACCGTGAACTGTGCGCAAGTCAAACTTAAACAGTGCAAAAGGGGTGCACAGCAGAACGCCTGCGTCGCAGAGCCACGGCAGACGGCGCTGAAGGCGAAGCCGTCCGGGAGGTCGGCCTACTCACCCTCTGGTTCAGAGACAACCCGGTGGAGATGTTGCGTCGCAGCGCCGGCGTGGGCATCGGGGGCGACGGGCCCACGAAGGTCGAGCACTAAGCAACAACAAGAATAAGATTCACTCTAAGGGGCTCCTGCTGCCTCGGCCAGAGGGACGGGCGCTCGGCGGAGGCGCCCTCCAGGCTCGTATTCCTCTGGCATCACATATATACTAATGGCTTGTAAATATATAAACAAATATATGTCCATTTTATTTCCTTTTCACTCATATTTCCCATTACCTATACGGCATTCACCCATAGTAATCAAGACAATAATAATGGAGATATCAAATCAAAGTGTGCAAAGTTTCAAGGGCGGTGCGTTCAGTAATAATAATAATCTGTAACAAGCAGGAAGCATAAATTTTCATTTTCTCATGTTCATTCTCTTGTTCTTTCTCTCACTCTCTCTTATTACAAAAACTAATACTAAAATATTAGTGTATCAATAATGATAATTATAATAATAATAATAATAATATTGATAAAAATAAATGATAACAGTTATGATAATACCAATCACCAATATATTTTTTTAATATGCAACTAAAAGAAAACTAGTGTAGTTATAATATTACGCTCCCCAAAAAAAAAAAAAAAAAAAAAAAAAAAAAAAAAAAAACACCTATCAAAATATTTCTCCTGTACCGCTATAAATCATCGCGTGAAAACTCTACGGTCCTGCTATCCAGATTTCAGTATTTTCCATTACAGACCGTAAACTTATCATGAACAATTCCCTACTTAACTCCCCTATTATAATCTAATAACAATTCTAAGGAAATCTTAATGAATTCTCACAATATGTTTGTGTGTACTAATTCATACTAGTTACACTGACTTGGCGCTGGGTCTGACGAAACAAAATATATATATAAAAAACGAAGTAAATAATCAAATCGCGAATCATAAAAATAACAGCATCCAACCTTAGGAAATTCTACGCCAAAATTTTAGAGTACCCATTCTATAGTCTTGTAGTATAGCAACTCTAACCTACACTGCAAACTTTGCTCATAAAATTATTTCAAGAGAGACAAGCTAAAACGATCACCGGATACTTAATAAAATGTTATAAAAACGTCAATACATCACACTCACGCACATATTCCATCATTCACAAGCAACGGTGCTTCTATGCAGCACAGAGAGAAGAACAAGAAACAAGGTACATGATGATGAAGCAAAGGTAAGTACAGGTAGGTAAAGGTGTCGTCTTCTACACCTGAGTAAATAAATCCGCAACTGACACATCTTTGGGGATCTTCACGGCAGGGTAAATGCACGGTGAATTAATATTTGCAGTTGCGAAACTCCAATTTGTGAAGGTGATTACAGCTGGTGCGAGTTCGGGTAAAATTAGAACTTCTCAAAATACTGACAAGACAAGCTGCCTTTTAAGCCGCTGTTCTTTTCAATCATCATAAATCTTTTTGAGAATACATCATGCAACAGAATATATATCAAGATCAGAAAGCATCAAAGAGCGATGGAAAGGAATGTTTTGGCAATCGGGAGACAAATTACAACAGAATGGCTACGGTGGGGTGAAGCGTGGCGGGAGGGTCAGGGTCGGCCTCTATAATGGTACAACTGAAACGGTGCAATTTTACGCTACGCGTGTGGTTCCTCTCACTCTTGACCTACTGTACGTAAGCGCTCTCGCAACAGCTCCACGCTACAGTCAAACAGATGGAATTGCTCCTAAAGACGAGCGAGCAAGTGGTGACAGTGCCATGGTTTAGGACAGTGCAGGGCCACTGGAACTGCCACAGGGAAATACAGCTCATGACAAAGTACGAGACACGAGCCAGGCAGGCGGTCCCGCGGGAGGCAGACGCCGCCGAGGCTGCACTTACCAGGCGCGCGACCTTCGCCTTGGTGATGTAGGGCGCTCGCCCGCCATCACCTCCGTTACCCGACTCGCTGAGCCGCGCCTTGTCGCAATAACTCCGCCGCTGAGGTCACGCCGGGTTAACAAAGGCAATGCCCCGTCCGGTGCCACCCAAGAAGCACCGAGGTCGTACAGGCGCGGAGGTTACAGCGGTGTACGACCCAGCACACCGCACACGGGCACCACGGGCGAAAAGAGGTAACCATATGTTAGCAACGCATGTGGTTTGGGATGATGAGTGGGCATGAATGTGGTAGTGTAGTCTGTTGTGGTTGGGGTGGTTGGTGGGTGGTGGACGTGGCTGTACATGTCGGGTGTTGTGAAGGATGACATAGAGTACAAGGGTACAAAGCATTCACTGTAATAAGCGATACCTGACTGTGGTAATGGGAGAACTGCTGGTTGTGTTTCTAATTCTAAATTACGATTATATGGTTGTTTTAGCTGTTTAATATTTAATTTTGAGCATTAATAGTGTTGAGCGGTTGTGTTTAGTGTGATAAAAGCTGTTGTTAAAGCTGTGCAGAGAGTGAGTGAACATGTTACACCTCAAACTACAACCTAGGTTACCCGTGCAGAGGGCGCGAGCGCGGGGAGGCTGGCTCCCCTCTCCGCCTCCGCCGCAGGAGGCCTGCAGCCTGCGCGGATGTACAAGACACTGTACACCTAACTACACGACAATACTCGGCGGTCACTGGCACAACTGGGCCTCGAAGCCAAACTACTGAACTCGGCACTACGGCGGCCGCGGTGCTCGAGGGCACCGAGGGACACTGGGGGCACAAGGCACGGGGCTCACCAGGTGCTTCACGGAGACGCCGGTGTACACGTTGGCTCTCGGGGTCACCACGTTGCTGCCGTTGGTGTTGTTGTTGTTGTGGTTGTTGTTATGGTGGTTGTTGTTGTTGTTGAGGTTGGAGGGCTTGGAGCGGCGTCCCCCGAGGTCCACCATGGTGCCGGCCGCCCCCCGCTGCCCGCGTCGTCAGCCCACGCCCGCGCGGGCACCGGGGCAGAGGCCCCAGCGGGTGAAGGCGGAGGAGGGTGCGGGGGGATGGCGGAGGGGCGGCGGGAGGGAGCGCGCGGTCACCACCAGGAGTACCAGCAGCACCAGCAGCAGCGGCAGGACCACCAGCGGGGGCAACGCCGTTGTGGTGCACGGGGGCGCCGGTGCACCAGCAGACACGACGCCAGAGGCACGCGGCCGGCACCAGCAGCAGGAACCGAGAGGACCCACGGGCACAGCGGTCACCAGCAGAAGACGAGGCGGCAGCGGAAGGCGACGGCGCGGCGGCGGCGGCGGCA